CTCTGTGAGTTCCAGGCCAGCCTGGTCTACAAAGTGAGTGCCAAAACAGGCTCCAAAGCTACAAAGAAACCCTGTCTTGAAATACAAAAAGAAAAAAAAAAAGTTATATAGAGTAATGAATTCCTTTGTAGCAATTTTAACATATATGTAACAGAGTTTGATCATGTTATCCCCCTGAAATTTAATTCTTGCTTTACCTATGTGGTCACGTTTAGTTACTATAATGTAAAAGAGTCACAAGCATGACATTTTAAATACATAAGAGACACAGTCACAAGTGGTTCTGACTACTCCATGAATCTACTCCATGAATCAACATCCTTGAGTGACTAGCATTAATAATCAGAACCTAAGGAGGGAATACAGTATAGTGGCAGAGGGCTCACCTAGGATACATGAGGCTCCTGGTTCAGTTCCCAGCATGGCATACTGGGACTACTTCATAAGCATGATATTTTATGTGTGTGAATATTTTAGCTCTAGTACAGAAAACTAAGTAACTAGGATTCCTGAATTTATACTACTTATGAGATTGGGTTTATCTAGAAAGATCTATGCTCCAGTTTTGCTCAGGATAAACTCAAAGATAATAAACTGCTTTTACCTTTGTGTGGCATGAATGTCTTCTGTAAGTGACTGACCATCAGTCCTGAGTCAGACCTTGTGGATACAAAACAGTCTATGTAGACTCCTCTCAGAGTCTGTAGATAGCTCTTATGTACAAAGAGAACTCTTTTGGCAGTAGAGTGAAATTTTGTAGTATATATTTATTTATTGCACACATATCTTTAGGTATTTTTGTACAGCTAATTAGGAGAAAAGTTTGTATCCTTTATGGTATTTTACTTACTTAAACATGTGTTTTGAAATCCAGCTATTTCCACAAGATCGTGCCCCCACTGCTTTTGCCAACACCATTGTGGCATGTCTTCGGACAACATTGTGCCAGCTTTGAAGTGAGGTGGTCTGTGTCCACACCCCATCCTTACTACTCAGGAGTTGAATAATCATGGGCAGACTACTTGTCCTTTTCAAGTGGCTCTCTCTCTCTCTCTCTCTCTCTCTCTCTCTCTCTCTCTCTCTCTCTTTTCATTGTTTTTGAGATAGAGTTTCTCCAGTCCTGGCTGTCCTGGAACTCGTTCTGTAGACCAAACTGGCTTTGAACTCAGAGATCCACTTGCCTCTGCCTCCCAAATGTTGGGATTAAAGGCATGTGCCACCACAGCTTGGCTTCTTTTTCCTCTTTATCAAAATACCACTCACATGGTGCCTGTCCATAGTAATGGCTCAATGAATGGGAGTGATTACAATCTTCTTAATTACTGTCTTCCAGTGCATCCTTTAGAATTTTAGCTATTTTCATTCCTACAGTTGTTAGCATCGCTTGGCTATTGTCTATGTCATGTGATCAATTTTCCTGTTCTATTTTAAAAATTGCAGAAAACTCGAGCTCATCTGATATTCTCAGAGCTGAAATTCCAGCAGAACTCCAGCTTCCCAGGCTGCTTAGCAAAGGCCCTGGAACAGTATCCTGACATCTCACACTGCAAGAATGTGTGTGTGTGTGTGTGTGTGTGTGTGTGTGTGTGTGTGTGTGTGTGTACGTATAGTTGGATTTTTCTTTGGGCCACCAGCTCACAAATAACAACACAGAGACATTATTATTTATGAAAGCTTAGCCTTAGCTTGGGCTTGTCTTACTTGCTCTTGTAGTTTAAATTTACCTGTCTTTATTAATCTACATTTTACCATGTGACTTTTTATCTTTCATTCTGTATGTCTAACTCCTTCCATGTCTTGTTGGTGTTTCTTGCATGCCTGGATTCTCCTCCCAGAAATCCTGCCATTCTACTTACCTAGCTATTGGCCATTGAGGTTTTTATTATACAAATCACAGCAAATACATCATCATACAGTGTAGAAATATCCCACCACATGCATTTTCACATGTGTGTCTGTGAATGGCTTTATAATGTACCACTAGGCATGCAATATGGAGGCCAGAGGTCAACATCAGGTGTCTTCTTTTTCTTTTCTTCACCTTATTTTCTTTGAGACAGGGTCTCTCCCTTAACCCATAGCTCACTGATTTGCAGGTTAGCTGGTGACAAACCACAAGTATCCTCCTATCTCCACCTCCCTAGGGCCAAGAGGGTACCACCACATCAGCTTACATGGGTGCTGGGGATCTGAACTTTGGTCCTCATGCTTGTGAGACAATCACTTTCTTTACCTACTGATCTGTTTCCATGGCATTAGAGGTTTTCTTAACCTTAGCCATGGTCTGGGGCATGGGGTCAGCTTCGATAAGATATCTAAGTGGCAAAAATAGCAGCTATGTTGTATTGGGGTAGGCCACAGGGTCCAGGTGTAGTAAGTGGGTCAACTTCTAGTGGGTTGGCCTGTTCTTTGTAAGAATTAGAAATTTATTCAATTTTTAGAACTTCCTGCAGAATGGAGAAAAACAGGATTTCATGGTGGCCAGGGTTGTCTGTAAGGACATTGGAAGCGATCCTTCTACTATCTTGCCTGCAAACATTTTTACAGTGCTCAAATTGATATGCAAGAATGGCCCTGATTAGTGGAACCTGGAAGGTCAGTCTGAAATGCATAGATGTGTTAGAAGGGCAAAAACAAGAGGTAGGAAGCATGTGGGGAGGGGATGGATTCAAGAATAGAATGATTCAGAGACACAGGGTACATTTACAAGGAAGAAAAGCAAGGTAGGAGGTAGGGTGCCTCTGTTACTAGGCAACCACAAACAGGCTTTTTGGTGTTTCCAGGGTAACGGCAGAGGAGGATAATGAGTACTTGAGATGTTTTTAGAAATCACATCCAGTGAGCACCTCCTTTTCCTGTCCTTTGGCTTCCTAACTTATTTAATAGCTACCTGGATACCCCATTTGCTAGTCTAAAAGACAAGCTAATTTACTGAAGATCAAGTGCATCCTAGACTCATTTCAAGGCAGTGCCCTCTGCAAAACCATTCTGCCTATCTTTTGACTGCACATTTTAGATTGGGCATGGTTAACTCAACTGTTTGCTTCTAAGTTGCCTAAAACAGAAAATTTCTCAAAAATTTTAGAAACAACTTTTTATAGAAAAAATGAAACATACAAATAGAAATAGTGTTACAAAAGCTCCATCTATAATATACCCTTTAATTAATCTTGCATTATTGATACATCTACTCACATTCCTTCTCTCCTAGCCTCCCTGCCCTTCCTCCAAAATTCTTGTCCTTAGTTTACTTAGAAGCAAATTATAGACATTGTATAATTCTACCAGTAAACAGTTTAGTATGAATTACTAAAGTGTAAGGATGTAAAGGAACATAATCCCAGTGCAATCATATCTAAGAGATAATACTCAGGGGCTAGAGGGATGGTTCAGTCACTATGTTCAGCACATTCATACACATAATAAAAATAAAGCAAAGCAAAGATAACTCCTGTTTCTTTTCAATAAATTAAAGGTGACAGAGAGGAAGCACTATCTGAATACCAAATGTATCACATGAACAGAAAAAAGTTGCAAGAATCAGAAAAATTTAGGCAGTGATTAGATATTTGAATTATTAGCTTTAATGTGTGTGTTTGGGGGAGGGGGGAAGGAGTTGCTCTGAGGCTCAAACTCTGGTCCTGGCAAAGGCAATTGCTAAGACAGCTCTCTAGCCTCCTACTGCCAATATCTTATTACATTTGTTTATGCAAGATAAAAGAACAGACAAAGTATTTTTTATTTAAAAAAATATTGAAGAAAATCATGCTACCAGAAAGTGGCAGAGCGGAGACCTGAATGGGAGTTTCAGTTTCTCCAAACGGGTCCATTTTAATTTTACTCAGTCTTTCCCTACATGAAAGCTCTAGACTCAGAGCAAGAATGGCTATCCACAAACACGTTATTTTTATTTTGTCAGAAAAAAAAAATGAGAGAAAAGAAATTACTTAAAACTTTAAAAAAGGGCTGCGGAGATGGCTCAGCAGGTAAAGTGGTTGCCATGAAATCATAAAGACCTGTGTAAAAACAAAAGGCCAGTGCATTGATGCAGACCGACAGTCCCTGAGCTGACGAGGTAGAGACAGGAGGATCCCTGAGATTCCATTCAGTGGGTTCCAGAGTCACTGACAGACCCTGGCTAACAAAATAAGGTGGAGAGCAGTTGAGGAAGACCCCTGGTGTCTGTCTCTCTGTCTCTCTCTCTCTGGTGTCTGTCTCTCTGTCTCTGTCTGTCTGTCTGTCTGTCTCTTTCTCTCTCTCTCTCACACACACACACACATGCGAGTATGAGCAAACATGAAACTTTTAATGGTTTACTGTATTTAATAGTTGGTGTTCACCAAAGTTATTGTGTCACATATCTATCCTACAGATACATTGGTTGTGAATAATCAAAAGACAAATAATATCAAAACAGGATAAGTAGGAAGCTTTTATTATTATCTTTGTCTTAATACAGTTGCAAATTCAGAAAATTAATTTTTTTTTTTTTCAAGACAGGGTTTCTCTGTGTAAGAGCACTGACTGTCCTGGAACTCCCTCTGTAGACCAGGTTGGCCTCAAACTCACAGAGTTTGCCTCCCAAATGCTGGGATTAGAGGCTTGCACCACTGCCACTACCCAGCCAGAAAATTTAATTTTTAATTGTGTTTACCTAACATCTGGGTCCTAAAAATGTAATAATTGACTCTGGTGAGTTAATATGAGCCCGTCATAGTACCTTGCAGACAACATGATCAAGGATTTGGGGTTAAACAATTGCCTATTGAATCATAAATCATGTGGTTCAAACATATATAAAATGATGTAGAAAAGGGCACCCATGTGTAACTTCTGTCCTACTCTTGTCCCTTTGTGCATTTTCAGTGACCGCCGGCCTGGTGTTAGGGAAGCTGAGCTTCTTACTTGTTTGTGCTAGGACAGAAAGTGAGCTGTGGTTAGCAGAGTCTGTCATGTGTCTTATGGTGTTACTCACTGTGTGTTTGGTTTTCCCCCTCCAGCCATAACTGTGTTGCCTGATGAAGAGCAGAATCTGAATCATTATGTACAAGTTTTACAGAACCTGATAATGAGTGTTCCCACCAGGGAGCAGGGCTCCGACAAAAAGTCAGAGGCCTCGAGAACTATGGAAGTCGCAGAACCGAGGTCGTCGCCTGAGCTGTTGATGCATACTCCCGATGAAGTTACCTCTGAGAACGATGTTCTGATCAGGCCCATCAGCCAGGAAATGACGACTTTCTCTACTAGTGGCTTCACAATGGATGTAGAGAGGAAAAAAAAAACCGAAAGTACAGCCTTCTGGTCCATCCGGCCAAATAACATTTCTATTGTTTTACACACGGATGAACCTTATATTGAAAAAGAAGAGCCGGAGCCGGAGCCGGAACCAGAATCAGAATCCGCGTCTAGACCAACACTGTCTGAGCCTGAGCTCCATCCGGAGTCGGAGCCCGAGCCAGAGCTGGAGCCCGAGACCACACAAGAGCCACAGGCAGAGGACCTAGAGTCAGACACACGGCAAAACAGGCTGCCAACGGAGATCCCGAGGATGTCATCCATGGTCACCCATCCATGGCTGGCAAGTACACATGTCACCATAACAAGGACCACCAGCAACATGGATTTCTCCACAGACTCTGAGGATGTGCCCCAGCTCTCAGGCCAGTCGGAAACCGAGAGCATCGAAGATATCTCTGGAAGCCACTCCCAGAGTTTGAAACATGAGGAGATTTTGAGAAAAATTTCCAATATTAACGCAGAGATTCAGCGGGGGCCTCTTGGTGACAGCAACAACCCCGAGTACAAGGAATACATTAAGGCCTCCAGGGAGCACCTGAAACGGAGCCTGGCCCTGGCTGCAGCCGCCGAGCACAAGTTACAACAGATGTACAGATCTCGCGTCTTCCCAGTGGATCAGATGAGCGATTCGGCTGATGACATGGAAACGGTTATCAACATGCTGTACAATTCCAGGTCCAAGTTGTCGGAGTATTTGAATATTAAGCATATACCAACAGAGCTGAGAGAAAAGGCCACCGCCGTGACTGGTGTGTTGAAAAAACTATTATGTGTAGATCAGGTAGAAAGGCAACGCTTCATTAGGAAGCTGATAAGCAATAATATGAAAATCCTAAATATCCTTGATGCCCAGTGATTAAACTCATTTAAGCAAAGGGCTCGTTCACAGGAAAAGAAGCATATTAGTGATTTCAAAAGTTGCCTTAAATATTTTCTATTATTATTCAATGTGCTAACATCCTTATGTGTCATGTCATAAAATATTTTCATATGCACTAAAAACATAACAATTTTAAAATAAAAATTTGCTTCATGAGCTTGTAGTTTTTTTTCTCATTAATTCAACTACCTGTGAAGAGCTAGTCTTTAAAATGTTTAAGCTTTGGTTCCACTGAGTAGATGTGCTAGACTCACCCACTGTATGCCTTTAGAGACTGCTTGCTCTGTGTAATGTAACCAGTTTTAAATAATCACTTGCAGTCTTGAGTCTTCTTTTGGACCATCTGGGCTTTATGTATGAAGAGCACACACTCAAAGCTGGTACCAGAAGCACTTCCGTTTGGATGTATGTTGCTTCCTTGGAAAGTGAGTGATATATTGAGACACATCCTGTTTTGCTGTCAAGCACTTGTGTCATTATGAGGGACCCTGACCTGGATCTGTAATGAGTTCATCCTTATAATTCCATCTCTTTGCTTTCATACAAACACATGAAGATTTGCAAATCTTTTGACACCAGTTAGCTGTATAGGGTTATAATGAAAGTGCAGTTTTGTTTCATGACTTGACCAGTATTATAGTCAAGTTCATTTACTTAGTACTCATTCATCAAGTCAGTTATTAGTAGATCAATAAATGTTTATTGACCCTTTGGTAGGACAAAATACTAGACTTTGGGGGATAGAGTAAAGGGCTATTTCCTTCTCTGAGATTATAACAGGGAACCCAGACACTGAACAAATCCATCTGTTAAATTTTCAGTTGGGACAAGCTCTTATGAGAGGTAGCTGGTCTAACCTCATCTAGACTATTAAGAAGAGGAGCCTCAGCAAGTGGCACCTGAGGGGAGGTCTGAGAGGTGAGATGTGCCTGGGGGAGGAGAATGTTGCAGGCAGAGGAAGAGCATGTGTGACTGTTGAGCTGGAGGTGAGGATGGCAGGGACAGGAAGTGCCTGGAGTACAGGAAGGCCAGAGAGAATACTCCAACATGGAGCAGTCACATAAGGTCTGAAAACAGCTTGCAGGTCTCAAGGTGTGCGTCGACTAGTTCATCTTTATCCTGTGTTGGTGAGAAGCAATCTTCGGATTTTAAGCAAAGGACCTGGTGTGCATGTGTGTTTAAAAACAACACGGCACTCTGGCCATATAGTTTTAGAGGCAGGCTGAAGTAGATAAGAGCTGTACACAAGCCAGATTTGGCTTGGATTAGATGGAATGAAGTGACAATTAAAAGTGACTAAACGCACAGGTGTGACTGAGGGAATAAAAGTTGTCAAACAAAATCCCCCATAGGGCTGTGTTGTAAAGTGATTCATTGTGTTTATTTTTAAAAATAACCTGCTATGAAAAACGTTAAGCCTGCTATGGAAAATGTTAAGCATCTGCAAAGATGTGCAACAACACAGGAACAGTATACAGCCATCATCCAGTGTGAACAGTCATGTTCTGAAAGACAGTAGTGTCTAGACCTCCCTCTTCCCCCCACTTCCTGTACGCTCAACCGGATCTCCAAGAATTTTATCATTTTATCTCCAGCTTGAACTGTGTGCAACTCTCTAAGCTTTTGAAGAACAGTTTTCAAATGTTTCATAACAATATCATCACGTGGTGTTAATGGTATCTAGTCAATGTTTAAATTTAAAAAGTGATTAGACAATGGGAAATTTGTATGAATCAAGATCAAATAAAGTTCACATATTGCTATTGCCCGGCTGGACTCAGAGAGTTTTCTTTTAATTGAAGGACCCTTTCTACTTTTTTAAGCTGGAAATTTATTTATTGGGAAAGTGGCCATTGGTGCCATTGCTTCCCAGTGTGGAATTGGCATGCATTTGGATTGTTGCTAGGCTGTTTTCATGTCCTCTGTATTTTCTTAATTCACTTCTGTTTATTTATGTGTATATGTAAGTGTATGTGGTGTATGTGTGTGTGTATGGAATCCAAAGGTGGATAGAGGAGCTAGAGAGATGATGGGTCAACACCCATGTTGGATGGTTCACAACCAACTGTAACTAGCTCTGGGGAATTTTATGCCTTCTTTGGGCAAACACACATGCATAAATTAAAAATCATTTACAAAGAAAGGTGGAGAAATTGACACCTGTAACACTGGAATCTAACAAATTAGAGATAGATCGTCCATTGTATGGGTACCAACATGTCTTAGATGGAGTTGGAGAGGAAGCCTCATTAAAAGGATGAGTTGAGGGAACTAGAAACAAAACATGTAAAGACAGCATTTGTAATTCTCAATTAACTGAGATCTGAGACTGAGAGAGGTGACAGCTGTAGCTGAAAGCAAGACTCAGAGAAAACATTAGCTTTTTATTAGATAGACAAGCCACTGTCAGCAGAAGGCAAGGAGCCAGGAGAAAGAGGATGGAGATGGCCAGGGAGTTTGGAGCAGGTAAGAAGGAGAAAGAATGGATTTGCTTAAGGCAGACTTCTAGGTTTGCCAGAAAAGAAAAATTAAAGAAAAAAAAAGGAGGGGGACATTCAGGACACACACACTTGTAACTTCAACATTTGACAAGTAGATACAGGAGGATTAGAAACTCAAGGTCATCTTTAGGCAGATGAGAAGGCCATGTGCTGAGAGTGGGTTAAAGCGTATTTGTGGTGCCCATGGTTAGAAGGAAAGCTAGCATAGGTGAAGTGTCTAGTTCAACATAGACGTTAAGTAGTGGCCTTGTATCATGTGCAGCTTCAGAGAGGGCTGTGTAATTATGAGGTAGTCCGTGGAAACCACCTCCTGTCTCTAACAGGGTTCTTGCCCTGCTCACCTCCAAAATGGAGCAACAGACAGCTAAGAGTACAAATAGGAGGTATTTTATTGTCAGATTGGGATTAACAATCTAAAAAGGGGTAAAAGAAGGCAGAGTGCTACACGGAATTTAAAACAGGACGTGGGACACTTGGTGACTGCTGAGAGCCATCACAGCCTGGAGCAGTGTCACAGCTCCAAGCTCTGGGAGGGCTTTGGGAGTGGTCTCTATCCCAGCAAGCCGGTTGGTGGCAAACAGGAAGCAGCAAGGAAATGAATTCCCGGCTGTGGCTGAGGAGCTGTCACCTCGCCTATAGTGGGTCAAAGCACTTATTTCTGATAATGTGCACATTGGATTAAAGCTGTGTGAAATACTGCTTCATCTGATTCATGTTTTTATTTTGGTTTATTTGATTCCACATAATAATAATAAAAAAAGAATATCATTAAACCTCCAAATTTGTATTGAAAAGATGTTGACAAAAACCTCTATCCCTTAGCCTAGGGGAAGTTAGTATAGAATTTTTTTTTTTTTTTTAAATCACTGGCATTAAAATAACTAAAGAAATCTGAATTCTTTGGTCTTAACAATGTGTATCTTAGAAAATTTACTTTCACGTGATGTAGATTGGGATTTAGAAAATAACCCTTTGTTTTATGAAGGAAACGCTAACAAATTTTCTCAAGAAATCTAAGTACACTTATTAATGTGTTTTTTCCTATACAGAACACATTCTACTGTTTCTACAACAGCATGTCTGTATCAGAAGTTATCATTATCCCTAGTGTCTATTATAAAGCAAATTGCATAGTACTTAGAGCTATCCACTAGGTGAAGCTGCTTTTTGGTTTGGTTTTTATTTTTATTTATGTATTTATTTATTTACTTTTTTTTGAGACAGGGCCTCTCATGCAGCTCAGGCTGGCCATGAGATCTCTAAATAGCTGAGGATGACCTTGAATTTATGACCCTCCAGCTTCTATAGACATGTGCCATTGTGCCTAAGCAGTGCTGGGGAATCAAACCCTGGGCTTTTGTACGTGCTAGGGAAGTGCTCTATTAACTTAGCTACTTTCCCAGCCCTTGTTTGCTTTTGACCTCAGTTTTATATACAAAATATATCAAGGGTGAGGGAACATAGGAATGCAGGGGAAAGCCAGAGCTAGAAGGTAAGTTAGGGTTTAAATCCAGGACACTTGGAAAAGACAGACACCATCCTCCCTGAGCTCAGACAGACTGAGTTTTAGCTTTCTAGTCTTTGTTGTTGTTTGTTTTCAAGGTAGCATTTCTCTGTATAACAACCCTGGCTGTCCTGGAATTTGCTCTGTAGACCAGCCTGGCTTCAAACTCACAGAGATCCACCTGCTCTTGCCTCTGGAGTGTTGGGATTAAAGAGGTGTGTGCCACCACTGCCTGATAGCTTTCTATTCTTCAGTCTAACACTCTCCCAACTGGCTTTTTATTCTGAAAATAGCATCATGTACAGTGTGTGTGGTGTGTGTGTGGGGGGTGGGGTGTGTTGAGACAAGGTCTTACTAGGTAGCCCTAGCTGACCTTGAACCTGCTATGTAGATGAGGCTGGCCACAAACTCACACAGATCTCTCTGACTCTGCCTTCCAAGTGCTGGGAGATTAAAGATGTGTGCTGCTATGTCTAGCCTTTTTGTAGTTTTTTGAAATAAGATCTCACTATGATACTCAGTCTAGCCTTGAATTCATGATCCTCCTGTGTCTGCCCTTCTAGAATGCTAGAATTGCCATTTGCCCACAATCCCTGGATGAGATTTTGGTTTGAGGAGACAGTCTTTCGTTGAGGCAAATGCTGGAGCTATCTATCTCCGAGGCATGGAGCAAAAATGGAACATTGTTAAAGTCCCAGTGTTAACACACTCTCCTGGCTTTTGATTTTCTATGAATAAGAAATACTGTTGGGCCTTGAGTGACCTGACTCCTTAATTAGTTGGACTTTCTTGGTGCTCTGGCTGCCTTAAGCAAAAGACTGCCAGTCCAGCAGTCGGCTGGACTACACTAACCCAACACCAGCACCAGGACCAGCACCAGGACCAGCACCAGCACCAGCTGCTTTAAAGGTCAAAGATGTCTCAAGGAAGCTACATGACAACTACAACCACTTACTGAAGCAACCGTCTGGCTCCCTGAAGGTATATCCCCAAACAAGACCAGTTCAAATAGTTGCACCAGACTTTCCCTGTAACTATTTATATCCAGGGCAAAGGGGGAGCACTTCTCTTGGTGGGCTAGCAGAGGGACACGGCAAGTGATGTAAGAGGAACAATGCCATGGGTGATAGAAATCCAGTTCTTCACTTGCC